TCAGATGTCACAAGTCACTGTCTCCTCCATTATGAGTCTTTTCTAGTGCTTCACCTGTGCCCACTTTCCTTCAAAAGCAAGCCTTCAGTGTCTCCCAGGCTGTGCATCACCAGGTTGACAAGGAGAGTGAGGAGTTCACACGGTTGAGGATGCAGGTGAAATTAACCAGCTCCAGATGCATCCTAAACCTCCCCCCAGGGATTTCAGACTGTGTGAACTGGACTTTGGACCCACGAGACAGGTGGGAAGTCTTTCCCAACTCAGGTGGAGATGGGGATTTTCATCTTGAGTCTGAAATCCCCTTCAGGCTATTAAACATCAGCAGAAAGGAAGTAAAGCCTGCACTTCTTATCAAAGGGAGCAGGAGAGAAAGCATGTGGAATTGGGCTAGAGAAATGTATTTTTATACATATTTTCCACACTATCTCTTAACACAAACACCCACCTGTTGGACATTTTTTTTTTTTTGTCTTTTTCCTTTTTATCGGTACCAGGGATCGAACTCACGACTGCCTGCTTGCAAGGCAGGCGCTTATGCCGCTGAGCTAAATCCCCAGCCCCCTGTTGGACATTTTGAAGTTCTAATTGCACACAGATAATTCATAACTTCAGAAGTCAATACTTTTTCAAAAACAACATTGTGGGTGGTTAGGGAGAGAAGCACGTGGTGGCAGGCTTTCAGGAATTCTTTCTACTTTCCCATTTAGTGGACACCGGCAGTGAAAAAGCTTTGGTACCTTTTGCTTCTTGTAGAACTTTACATTAAACTTAGTCCTGTGAAGTTCTCTAGTGTATATGTTTGAATAGTGAGAACTCTGCATGTGAGAAGCAAGCAAGTGGAATTTCAAGGAACATTCGTTCACAGCCTTCACAGCAGCCCTGAGCTCCAAACGATGCTAATTTGAGTGTTACCTGTGTGACACCTTGTGTTGCTCATGCCAAAGACCACTACCTGAGAATGCAGAGCAGGCTACCTAGAAGTTATAGAAGTCAGCTCGCTCATCTGCAGGAAGCAATTGCTTTGTGGTAAGAAAAACCCACATGTCTACAATCCCAGCACTCAGGGGATTGAGGCAGGACAAATGTGACTTTTAGGCCAGCCTTGACTGCATAGCAAGACCCTGTCATCAAACATGTTATATCAAATCCCTTGGCCTCTTTGTACCTTAGTTTCCTCATTTGGAAATAATGAATGGAGTCTTTGGCCATACCATCCTGGATGCTCCTCATCTTATCTGAAAGTAATCAGTGGATCTTAAGACTTACTTTTCAAAGCAATTTCAGGATCCAGCTAGTGAATAACTGCATGAAGTTGATACATAGATTTGGTAACAGTTTTTGTTTTTACATATGTTTATCATTTATTTCACTTACACTTGGTGTAAAAACTGCATCCCATGCCATGCTTGAAATGTTCCAAAGCTCACTTTTATGAGTAAATTGCAACGAAGATTTCTACCAAAAAAATAAAAGGACATAATTGAAAGAAAAAAGATGCTCTTTTTGAACAGTTTTCATTTGGCAGTTATTTCAACTTATATATGATGAAACATCACTTGAAATACTTTTTCCATATACTAAAGAAATCTCATTGGAAGATGGTGGCTTATAATTTATACTTTCATATTTACAAGTGAAATGCACTAGGTACAAAGAAAGAAAGCTTAATAAATACTTGTGCTGAGTGATCTTTATTGCTCTTGAACAGCATTCCACAGCTTCCGCACTAGTGACATTTGGAGCTGGCTGATTCTTTGTGTTGAGTGTCTGACTGAACACTGTAGCATGCTTAGCAGCATCCCTGATCTCTGCCCTCTCCATGCCAATAGCAATTGTCACCTCCATGCAAAATCAAACCAACTGAGAATCATTGCTCTGTAGTGGCTCTCTCTGACCTGTGCGATAATCTTTATAATCCACTTTGTAGAGGTTTAAAGGATTTTCCAAATTTGTAGCAAAGAAACTTACAAGACTATAAATGTAATGAAGTTATATTTTTCAACTTACAAGAACTGCAAAAAGGGTAGTGCTTCAAATGTTTCTCTTTCAATAAACTGTATTTTATTGCAGGATAAATCTCTAGAACAAGGAAAACATTGCCTTAAATAACTAGTAAGTAAGTAGTATGAAAACTAGGCTTTAGAATGGACTTGTATCTGAACATTGTAGACCCCATATCCTGTCTGTAATTTCTCTAGGACTCTCACCTTCATGATCTTCATAAATAAAGTATTCAACTATTAGATTGTGTTTTTCAGTTCTAAACTAGGTAGTCCTGGCTGGCCTTGAACTCACTGTGTAGCCCAGGCTAGTCTCGGACTCACCGTGCTCTTGTCTCCTCCTCCTAGGTGCTAAGACTGCAGATATACTACTTAATGGCTTTTATTTCTTGCCCTGTCATTTTGAAACAGTTTTGCTACAGCATTCAGGCTGGCCCTGAGCTCACTTTGTAGCCCAGGCAACCCTCAGACTTGCAGCAATCCTTGCTCACCCTTTTGAATGCTAGGATTACACCACCAAACCTAGTTTTCAATTTCTTTTTTTTTGTTTGTTTATTTTAAAGAGAATAAATCAAAACAAAACAGAATAAAGCAAATAAGAACAGAACAATGCAAATGATAGAGGACTTCTAAACAAGGCAATGGAAAAGTAATAATGTCTACCATAATGTCTCCATTTTCTTCAAAATAGCTTGTCCATACCATCACATGAAATAAAATCAAACAAAACAAAACAGAACAAAACCAATCAAAATAAAAGAATGAAAGCATTACAGGACTTCAAAACAAGATAATAACAATGGCTACTATACTGTCTCTTTTTTTCTTCAAAATAACTTCATACCATCACACATAATAAAATCAAATAAAACACAATAGAATAAAACCTATCAAAAGAATTAAAACATTACAGGACTTCAAAACAAGATGATGGGAAATCAACAATGGCTTCCATAATGTTTCCTTTTGTTCACAATAGTCATCCATACCCTCACACATAATAAAAGCAAAACAAAACAGAATAAAACCAATCAAAACAAAAGAATAAAAGCATTATAGGACTTCAAAATAAGATGATAGGTAAACAACGATGTTTACCACAATATATCCTGTTACCTTCAAAATAGCTGCCCATATCACCAAGCACAGAAAAATCTAACAACCAAGACACAATAAAACCAAATCTAACAAAATTATGAAAATTGTACGAGAATTGAAAACGAGGTAATTGGTAATTAGCAGTGATTCCCACTTTCCTTTTTGAGGCATTTCCTCAACTATCACTGTTATAATCTAATGTGCCTTTTGGATCCCACTAACTCCTTCAGTTGTTGATGCTAGGGGGATAACTTGGTGTTCACCTGTATGTGTCCAAACCATTTTACCCATGAACATGTTCTCAGTTGCATCCATTTCCCTACAATAGCCTCAAGATTTCCTACTTTATAGCTGGGCAGCTTTCCATTGTATGTAAATACCGTATCTTTCTTATCCATTCTGCAGTTTATGGGCAAGTTACTCTTGCTTTTTTTTTTTTTTTTTTTTTTGGTCTCTCGTCACATAGAACAATTGTTTTCTCTCCTTTGATTTTTTGTCTATGCATGCCCAGGTTTGCCACTACTGCCTTAGGGCCGGGAATGTTTGATAATTCCAGAGACTAATTTTAGTCTCGTATAGTAAAAATTCTTTATGCCTACTTTCTTCAAGCCTTCTACATTTGAAAAAAGGCTCTATTTGCCAAAATACCACAAAATTAGTTTAATTACCATTAATAATATTTACACTTCTGGACCCACTGGACCAGAAACCAAACCAAACCAAACACAAAACAACAAAACAAAAATCAAGCTTTCACACCAAAGAGCATAGTATCTTCCTTTCTCTAAACAGTTAAAAATACTATGCAAGTAATTCCTCTTTGACAACAAGACTGCAGAGATTGTGATTATTTTAGTGAAGATGGAGTATTTCTATGCTGAGTGTAAACATGTCCAGCAATAGCATTTTTTTACTTTTTTACTTTTTTTTTGAGACAGGGTCATGCTATGTAGTTCAGGCTGGCCTTGGGCTCACTTTGTAAGGCAGGCTGGTCTTGAACATGCAATAATCCCTTGCTTCAGCCACGCAAAGGCTGGGATTTCAGGAGTGCACCACCACGCTATACCATTTAATCACCATTTTAAAAATCTGTTTTTAAGATGGGTGTCATCATTCCAGCACTAAAATGCTGGCAGTCAATTCTTCTGGTATCTTAACCATCTGGATAATACAACAGTTTACCTGCTTAGTTAATTATTTAATAGTTTAAAAACTTATTTAATACTTTAAGTGTTAGTTTTATTCAGATTCAATCGTCTAAACACCCTGGGTTAATGGCGCTCAAATTAGCACAGGTGCTCTACACACTACATTCTGGTCCTCTAGGCAGCACTCTAAAGTTAACTTTAATTCCTTTGTTCTGATTCAGCTTTTTCAAATCTTTATTATAAACACCATATAGCAAATACTTATAGACTTTGCAGGTCACATATAGTCTCTGTTGTATATATTCATGAGAGGTTTGTTTCTTTTTTGTACTGGGAATTGAACTCTCAAATTTGCAGCCTCACACTTGCCAGGCAGATGCTGTACCACTGAGCTATATCCCCAGCCCTCCTTTTCTTTTAAACCACTTAAAAAAGAAAACACAACAAAAACATAATGAACTTATGAGCTAAATAAAAAAGACTGGATCAATTGGATCGGTGGCCCATATGGTAAATACAAATACAAGCCAATGGTACATAAGCACTAATAAAACAAGGTTCATGTTATAACACCGGTAAGTGCTCAGATCTTATTACTACTTTTCCTGTGTAAGTTGGGTTTTTCCCATTTGTACCTTCTGATGTAAAAAGTGAAAATGTGCATAGCATATTTGATGATAGACACAGACTTAGCCCTATACACACTTGCACACTTGCACATTTTATTTCTGGAAGAGATTTTGGAGAGTATGTAATTAGAACTGCCTCCTCACTTTACAGATAACTTAAATAATGATGATTAAGTAACTTACAAATATCTGAGGGATAGCAGGCCTTCAAAGGAATCCTTATGTAGTTCGGTGATGTAATTTTCACTGAGATTTCTGGAAGATGAAAAGGTTATTTTTAAATCACATTTCCTCAGAAACCTGAAGGATATGCAGTGATGAAAAAGCGGAGGAAATGAGCACTGTCAGTCCTGCCACGTGGAGTGTACCTGGAGCAATTAAAGTCTCATATCTACAACAATCTCATGCCAACAATCCCCTTTGCAGGCACTTGTTCTACAGAAATATTTGCCCATGTTCACAAAGAAGCATCAACAAGTGTCCATTGTGTGGTACAGGTAACAAGAAAGCTGGAGAGGACTGGGGATACAGCTCAATGGCATAAGCATCTGCCTGGCAGGTGCAAGGTCCTGAGTTCAGTTCCAGGTGCCAAAAGAAGAAGAGGATAACAAAAGAAACCTGGAGAGGTACCTCCCCAAATAAGAAACCTGACCAAAAAACGGGCAACTACAATGAATAGACACATCTCAGAAGAGAAGCACCAACAGCCGATAAATGCATAAAAAATGTTCAATAACTATGGTGCTTAGAGCATTGTAAAGTAATAATATTCCATCTTACCCCACAAGGAATGGAATCAGCAGGAAGTCAAACAATAAAAAATGCTAGTGAGGCTATAGGGGAAAAACACTTCGATGTTGCTGGTAGACATGCAAACTAGTGCAGTCACTGTGGGACTCGGTGTGGAATTGCCTCAAAAAACAACTAGCAATTCCACTTGACCCAGTTATTCCCCGTCTAGGTATTTTCCCAAAAGAATTAAAGGCATCATGTTACATTGATGAATTCATAGTCATGTTTGTAGCAGCACAATTCATAATAGCTAAACCTTGGAAAGGGCCGCTATGTCTATCGACAGATAATGGATAAAAACAATGTATTTACACACAGTGCAGTACTCTGCCATAAAGAGAAGGAAACTCCAGTCTTTTGTGGAAATCAAACATGTTTAGTTATGTCATGAGTTCTGTTGTATGGGAAACCCAATGTCTAAATAAAAAGCAAAATTAAAGGCAATAGCGTGAAGGGAGATAGATCTTTCTCAGAAAGCAGGTGCTCAAGAGATGGAGGGAAAGGGGATGGAGAAAAAGAATTGAGATGTATGGTATCATGTACATGTGCCAATTGCTCATGAGGAATATAATCATCATATACTGCAGTGCACTAATTTTAAAAAATGAAAAAAATCCTAGATATACCCTAAACATCTATCAATAGGGATATACTAAATGAGGCAGGAAGTTGGGCTACGTAAGTGAATTCAAGGTTATCCTGCACTACGTAGCAAGATCCTGTCTTAAAAAAAACACACCTCAAAAATTAAGACAAAATGAATACACCGTGAGAGCTGCAGTGGTGCATCCCTGTTATCCCAGCACTCAAGAAGTTGAGGAAGGAGAACTGCCATGAGTTCAAGGCCAGCTTGCACTACATAGTGCGACATGTCTCAAAACAAACAAGTAGGGCCAGGGATTTAGCTCAGTGGCCTAAGTGCCTGCCTGGCAAGTGCAGGTTGTGAGTTCAATCCCTGGTACTAAAACAAAACAAAAAACAAGTAAAAATAAATACACATTATGGAATACTGTAGGAGTTTAAGTGAGTGGGTAACCCTCTCTATGTGGGGTAGGAAATAACACTGATGTATCAAAAGTGAGAGAGTCAAATTACAGGATAGTACTGTTTAGGTAAAAAAGAAAAGCCACCTGAGAAACCTATTTCACTGTATGTCAGTATGTGTGCAGGCAAATGCATGGGAAAGATCAGGAAAGATACATCAGATTCAGACTAGTGGTTACCTCATTGATGGGTCATTAGAGCATATGGAAGGTCTCACCTGTTATTTAATCTTTTTTTTTGTCTTTTACCTTTTTAACGGTACCGGGGATCAAACTCATGACAGCCTGCTTGAAGACAGGTGCTTATGCCGGCAGAGCTAAATCCCCAGCCCCCTGTTATTTCATTTTTATTCATTAAGAATGTAATCACATTCTCTTTGTATAAAAAATAAATTTCAGTTGTTTCTTTCCAAGAGGATCTGTGAGGGCTGCGATTTAGCCCAGTGGCATGAGCACCTGCTTATCAAGTGTGAGGTTGTGAGTGCAATCCCTGCTACCAGAACAAAAAGAAAGAAAGAAAGACATTGCTCACCGAGAGGGTGTATGAAATTTAATTCTCTCTTTCTCTTTCTCTCTCTCCCTCCCTCCCCACTTCCAGAGCTGGGGCTTGAACCCAAGGGCTCACACATCTAAACACATGTTTTAATCAAGTGAGGTTGACCTGAGATAAGATGGGGAAATACCTTTGCTCAAAAGTGTTGACCTCAACATGCTGAATCAAGGAGGGTCCTGGTTTTTGTATGAAGTTTTTATATTCGTGTTTGAAAAAATTATACTCACAGTTTCTCAGCCCAATGGTAGGTTTTCCATGCCCCTTTTTGTATACTATAAATAGAGTTTCCTTGGAAATCCCTGTGAAGAAACAGTTTATGTCTTTGAATAACTGGGAAAGGAATAAATACAAGAATCCTAACAATATCCAGGATATTCAAACACAGAGACAATAACAGCTTTTCATTTGCAGAACTAACAGCTCCCCAGTTTGCACAAGACTGTCAGACTGTGGAGCAGCCAGCACAAATGATGAGACTTTTGCTCAGCAGCTCAGCTTCCTATCTGTCCAGTCTCCTGGATTAATGATGTCGGTCACTTAGTTTTAATTTAAGTGTTTTTCCCAAAATCACTTGGGTACAAGATGACTCCTACAAATCAATAAGTAAAAGAAAAATCATTCAACAGAAAAATGGGCCAAAATGCATCATTATTAGTGAGTAAGAATAAAGCAAGCCTCTGCCAGCTGGCGCCAAAGCTTTGGCTCGGTACCCTTTGTGGAAGCTCTGCAGGCAGTGGAAGGATAAGGGCAAGAGCAGCGTAGAGGAGCTAACGTCCTGATGTGGAAAAACCGCTTGGACTTGATGCACAGGGAAGAAGAGGAACCACCAGGCAAGCAGTAAACCATCACCTGGTCAGGGCAAAAACTGCAAAGGAGAAGGAGGAACCCACACAAAACTGGCACCAGGGCTTATCTCCCGTGTGACAGGGTGAGGGAGACAGATGGTCAAGCATATAAGGGTATGGATCTCCCATTATTCCATACACATCTCTGACTCCTTTTTAAAGGAGGTCTATCATGCCTTGCCAACGAGTTATTAGGTCAGGAGTAGGGGAGCACGCCTGTGATCACAGCACTCAGGAAGCTGAGGCATGAAGATACCAGTGAGCCTCAGGCCAGCCTGCCTCGAACCAGGGTTCAGTTCCAATTTTGCGGAAACTCATTCTTTATCCGTCAGCAACAACTTTCCTGCTCAGTTTGCATACACTTTTCCTGAGGATGGCGGGAAAGCAATCTGTCTGCTCATGCGCCTAGTGAACATTTCCACGTGACCAGATGCATTCTCATTGCTCTGCGCTCACCACGGCCTCAAACAGAACTTGTGCCCCTCAAGCTGGCTCTCCTCCCTGCTTGGGGCTGCCACCTGTGACACCTCCACCACTCAGCTCCACACAGCATGGAGACGGGAGCTCACAGGAGTTTGCACTTCTCTGTCCACCCTGCCCTCAGCTGTTTACTGGGTGACTTGGTCACGCAGTGTTCCAGTGTTCACCCACTCTCACACCAGCACCCTGCTCAGCCACTTGTCACTTATCCCCAGGCTCCTAGAGATTCGAGGTCTCCCTGAATTCAGCCTTCCCTTCCAGATGCCTCCACATGTGGAGTCTAAAAGGGTCCTCCTGTTTTGATCATTTTGCTCTCTGGCTTGAAAACTCTGTCTCTCTGTGTCTGTGTGTCGGTCTCTGTCTCTCTGTCTCTCTAAAGATCCTAAAGTTGATATTCAGTGTTCATAATTTGAAATAATACCTCATTGCTTGATAACCCTGTTCTTTTCAGGCAGACTGGCCTGTGCAGCCATGTTCATTCCTGCTGCCATGCCTTTGGGCTGGCCGTCCTGTGTTTCCTCTGCTTGACAATTGCAAGCACTCTAAGCACCAGCTAAGGTTTGAGCTCCCCCATGCCGTGTTCCCTAACCTTCAAATCTTGTGACTCTGCATCTATTCTTTATGGCCCCACCACCTCCCCTAAGGCTCTTCCCCTCCCTTCTATCATTTTCATGTTCTGGAAAAAGCACTATGCTTCTTTAGTTCCCCATGTACTTAGCTCTGCAGGAGTGAGCACAAACTAGATACTGCAAAGCAAGGGGCAAAGGTGAGTTCTGCACATAATTCAGGGCCTCAACAACAACAACAGTAGCTAATATTCATACATATGGGGGTGCTGTTACTTGTATCACAGTGTTCTCTTTTCTGACACAGTCCTGTGAAACAGTAAACATTATATTCCTCCTTCCACAGATGAGGGAAGTGAGTCACAGACTAACTTGCAAAATGTTACAAAGATAATGAAAGAGATGTCTGGGTTAAAATTCAGGCCGTCTGGGTCAGGCAGATTCTATTCCTTTTTCCAAGGGGTGAGGGATACTAGGTATCAAACCCAGGACCCTGAGTGTACAAGACAGGCAGTGTACCTCTGAGCTACACCGCCAGGCCCAGAATCTACTCGTGCCCACATTGCTGTATCATCACTAAGGAAATGAGTTGTGAAAAGGGGGGAGCAAAAATAGGAGAGTAAGTGTTAGGTGGTGGGATAAGTAAAGTGCAACCCATCTGGGACCCCACCTGTCTCTCAGGAGCTATTCCTAGTCACCACTCCTATTCCCCAGTAAATTTTCCTACCCTTAACCTCCATTGTTCCTAAGAATTCACTCTTCATCTTCAGCGAAAATGAACTCAGTGTGTCTGACTTCCAGTAGGTTGGGAGTGACGTTCTGTTATTTTTGGGTTTTTCTTTTACCTATTTCATCATAACCTGGGCAGTGCAGGTGACAGCAGACACAGTGCTGTCAATCCATCTGCTCCTCTTAGCTGACTTGCAGGTGCTTCGTGAAACGTTTTACTTTCCCTGATTTAAATCCTTGAAAGCAGGGTTACAACTCTGGGCCAAGCTTGGTGAATTCACTAAGACCGTGTCTCAAAATAAAATATATGAAGAAAAAAACAAGGAAAAAGGGTAAGAGGGCACAAATAGTACAAAGAGAGTGGAATAAAGAAAATTGAGAAAGAAGAAGGTAAAAACAGAAAGTCAGTGTGAACAGGGGATGTGAGGACAGTCTATGAAGCCCTTGAAGAAAGGGCTGTCACCTCAGGCACAATGCAGACAACAAAAGAAGAAAACTGATCCTTACAAGACTGTGAAGGAGTTGACCTCTACGACAGGTACTTGGCGCAGCCTTTGCTTCGGGCTGAGACCCGTACATGACAGGGTGTCATTGTCACAGGTGCAGAGCTCACATATGTTGCTAGTGCTGGTGGCATCCTGCACCATTTGTGCAGAATAATGGTTAGTGTTCTGTTCCACATCCAAAGGTTGAACCGTGATGGGTGTCAGGTTTGGTTGCTGAGCCTGCACTTGGTCTGGATGTGCAAGGGTCACCTCAGGATGCTGCTGAGGAGAAGCTTCAATCTCCGGCAGAGTCACAGAATGTTCAGCCTCTGCAATCCCTTTTGAAGTCATGATAAGATTCATATACATTGTGTGTACCACATCAGTGGGGAATGTTGGGCTCTTAGCTGTATCCTGACCCAGTGGTGTTGGATTTCTTGTTTGAAGTGGTACCACGTGTTGATTGACAGCCTTCATAGACGGTTCTGGAGGCTGAGAGGGGTTCACCTGCATCACTGAAGGAAGTTTAGTTTCAGTAGCAGGTGGTTGAGTTATGGAATGTTCCACATGCAACAACTGAACCATGCTGCTTGTCAGGTTTGGTTGCCGAGCTTGCACCTGGTCTGGCTGTGCAAGGGTCATCTCTGGTTTCTTCTGAGGAGCTGTATCCTCTAGCAGGGTCGTGGAATGTTCCACCTCCATTGTAACTTCAGGATGTAGGATACGGCCCATGTCCAGTGGTTGCCCCATGACACTGGTCAACATGTGAGGCTGAGCTGGAATCTGACCCGGTGGTTTGGGATTTATCATTTCAAGTGGTATTGTGTTCTGATCTACACCCTTTAATGATGGCTCTGCAGGCTGAGAGGGGTTCTCCGGCAAATTGGGTGTGAGTTGCGTCCCTGAAGTAGATGGAGGTATTGGATGGTCCAGTTTCACAGGCTGAATGATTGCAGGAAACACAGTTGGTCCCTGAGACTCTACCTGCCTTGAAGGTGGGAATCTTACATCACGATCCTTCAGAGAAGCAACTGTACCCTCCTCTGGGGCCACAAAATGTCCAGCCTCTTTAATGGCTTTTTCTCTCATAAGAGCCATTGTTTGGACTGTGCCACTGGGCAAGGTTGGAGGCTGAACTGGACCCTGACCCAGTGGTGCTGCAGTTGTTCTGTGAGGTGTTACTCTGTCTGGACCTAAAGCCTCCATAAATGGTGTTGGAGGCTGAGATGGGTTCTCTGGCAAAGGTGGTGAATGGAGAACCTTGGAAGTAGGTGGAGAAGGTCTACTATGTTCTACCCTCCAAGCCTGAATGTTGACAGGAGTCAGGTTGGGTTGTGGAGCCTCCACCTTCCTAGGGTGTGCAAGTGTCACCTCGGGATGCTTCAGAAGAGAAGCTGTGACCTCCTGTGGGCCCACAGAATGTTCATCATTTTTAATGGCTTTTGCATTCATGATAAGAGCCATATCCATTGGTTGTACCACTGCACTGTGCAATGTTGGACTCTGAGCTGTATCCTGCCCTGGTGCTGTTGGATTTGTCATTTGAGCTGGTACCATGTGTTGATCTCCAGCCTTCATAAATGGCTCTGGAGGCTGAGAGGGGCTCTCAGGCCTTGTTGAAGGAAATTGACTTCCTGCAACAGGTGGTGGAGGCAGGGAACGTTCCACATCCGAAAGTTTAAATATCACGGGAGTGAGACTTGGATGCTGCGTGTGCATCTGGTCTGGATGTGCAAGGGCCACATCAGGGTTCTTGTGAGGAGGAACTGTGACCTCCTGCACGGCTGTGGGATGTTCAGCCTCTGCAGTAAGTTCAGGATATAGGGTAGGGCCTGTATCCAGTTTTTGTACCATGACAGTGGGCAATGTTGGAGGCTGAGCTGGACCTAGAGCCAGCAGTGTAGGAGTTATTCTGTAAGATGATTCTCTACGTTGACCTAAAGCCTCCAGCAATGGTGCTGGAGGCTGGAATGGGGTTTCTGACAATGTTGGTGAAAGGAGAAACCCTGAAGTAGGTGGAGAAGTTCTCGTATGTTCTACATTCCAAGCCTGAATGTTGACAGGAGTCAACTTGGGTTGTTGAGCCTCCACCTTCCTGTGGTGTGTGAGTGTCACCTCAGGATGCTTCAGAGGAGAAGGTGTAACCTCCTGCAGGCCCACAGAATGTGCAGGCTCTGTAGTGAGTTTATCACTTGTGCTAAGCCACATGTCTAGCGGTGGGGTTGTGACAGGTGATAATGTGGGATGCTGAGTTGAATACTGACCAAGCATTGGAACTGGCAGCTCATTCACTGTTGGCCCTTGTGTCTTTTCAGAGGCTGAGTACAGTATTGGAGATGGTTCCTTGGGTATCTCCCCAGGTCTCAGGATGGAATTTGTCAAACGTGAGAGATGAGTTGCACTGCCCCTTAGAGATGGAACATTGATCTCCGGATTCTCTGACAGCCGATGTAAACCCTCCTCACTAAATAGCTTCTCTTGGTGTAGGATTAAAGAAGGTACAACCTGTTCAGCAGGCTGTGAGTCTCGATAAGGGTCTTCTCCCTCAGGTAGAGAGGACTGGATTTGTGGAGCCTCTGGATTTTTAGTCTGGGCCTCCAGCTGGTATTGTGATGATTCCTTGTGCTCACAGGGCTGTGTAGGTTGATCTGGCTTCAGCAGATATCCCAGGTGTAGGCTTTTGTGATCAGCTTTATCCGTACTCAGATCCACAGTATCATCCTGCAAGGTTTGTTTCTGATGCTGAGGATATTCTGATTGATGAGCAGCTCCAAAAACCTCCTTAGCAAGTTGCCAGTGCTGAGCTATATCCTTCAGTTTCAGGAGTGAAACAAACTTTGATGGTGTTGAACTCTTGTTCCCTAGTAGTAGACGCAGTACATGTGACTGGTGGTCTGCAGCCTGCTCTGAAGCAGAAGTCTCCTCCTTTCTTCTGACTTGAGAAGGCAGAGCTAGGTGTTCATTCTCATGCCCATCTACCATTGAATCCACCTCTGGGAGCCTCTGTGGCCCAACCAGCTTGTCATGCAGACCCTGATGTGGAACAGCAAACTTATCTGGATCCGGCAGTGACTCTTCAGTCGACTCCTCAGGTGTAAGTAAAATCTTCTCAGGTGCAGAGGTTCCTGGGTAATCCATTTCCCCTGACTCTGCTCGAGTAGCAAAGGTGTAGAGTGGATGAGACGAGTAAAGGAGCTTGTTAGGAAAAGATAAGTAGCTATGGTCAAAGAGCTCAGCTTCCATCTGGGCTGGGAATTGAGCCCACTCGGGATGTGGGGCTACCAGGACAAGTAGCCACAACTGTGGCCAAAACATGAACCTTGGTGCCCCAAAGCGCAATATAAACATCATACAATAAGGCTTGGTCAACAAGACCTAGGCCAGTTGCTTCCAGCAAAAACACTTGCTGAAATGTTTCTGCTGGCCACTTGCTGCCAGTGCCTTGGCAACCATGTACATTGTGCCCTACCCCACCACTTGTGACATCATTGTTTAAGAAGCAGGTAGGTTCTGGCTCAGAGGGGCTTACCATGGCCCCAAGAAGTCTGGCTACAGTGACCATGCCTGTTGTGCACTAGCAAAAAGAGCTTTTCCATCCTGTGCTATGCTTGTCACCCTAGTAACTCCCTTTGCAAACACAGCTGTTTTCTGCAGCCAGCCACGCTGGAGCACTGACCACATTGTTATAAATTAACTGAAACGCCACCATACTGTTCTGTATGCGTTGTCACTCGAGTAACCTGTTTGATGTATCAACCTTTGTTCCCTTTGTGAGACACAAATGTTCCTGGAATTAGTAGACCAAGGGCTGTAAATTCCCGTAAGGAAGGAACGGGTTAACCACCAACTGTGAAATGTCTCTGACCTCAGGCAAAGGGGAACAAAGGCCTTCCGCATTCCTGCTCTCCTCCCATCATTATTTACTTTGCGGTTTATTTTCTATAAAAGTCTGTCAAAATTTTAACCCAGTTACACAGCTTTGCAAACTCCAGCTGCACTGTGTCATTGGTGCCAGCTGAAATAAAGCGCTTTTTCTTTGTAAAAGACACTTTGCCCCATTTTTTTTGGACAAGAGCTCGGGGTCTCATTTTTGGGGCACAACAATGCCCAAGTCCCTGCTTCCAGCAGAGGTAACAGCAGGGCCCTGCAGGGCTACTCCCCATATCAAGGTAGGATTTGGGCCTCAGACCTGGGTAGCCCTGTGTTTTCAGCAGCCCTTTGGGTTGGGGTAGGACAGAGCTTCCCATGGAGGTCACAGGGCTGGGCCTCTGTACACTCAGAAATAGTAACCCAGTCCAGCAACCTAACCTTTTCTTTCTCCAAGCCACAATCCAGGAGAACTCCTTCCTCCTTTAGGTATACAGGTTCTAAGGAATCCAGCTGACCTCCAGAATGGGGACTAGTTAGGGCAGCAGACAGGAGAATACACAATATGGTGGTTTATTCCACAGTGTTGTCATTTGCTCTATTCTCCATCCAGTGCCATGTTTGATGATTCATTTCCCTCTGTTAGGCTGGGGCTGCATATACATTGTGATGATGCATCGTGCTTGCAGGAGGGGTTTTGGAGGTGAGCAATTGGATCTGAGAGAAAGGATTTGAGTCAGTTCTTTACATTAACATGTGAGAACTCTCCCTACCCTTCCATGCCTCAACACTACCATCTACATGTGACAGTGCCCTTTTTCACAGCACACATGGGAAGACTCTTATAATGTTAAAATCCTCCTGTTAAATAGTTTTCTTGAAACACTATTATAAACTGACTCCATTCACAGTTGTTCTTCATCCATGTACTACTTGTCTTTTACCTGACACAACCTAGGCATGGGAAACTCAAGAAGAGACTCGATTCATCTTCTTACCTCTCCTCCCTTGCATTAGGTGGGGCACATAATAATGGTTTTTTAAAAATCTGATTTCTAAACTCTACTGACTTCCTTTTCTCAAATTTTGTGGGAAACTAGATTGTTTAAAGTTTGAAGCATCTTTGGTTTTGTTTAAATTACACTGAAGTCATTCTGTGGGAAAAGTTGAGATCCTTTCCCAGAAAGCAACCAGATTCTCCACTTTTTAAAACAAACACTCCCCAATTTCTTAATCAAGACTCCCCAAGTTTAAGTGCTGAAGAAGTCCTGATCTCACTGCAGCCAGTCTGTTCTCTGCCCCTGAACTCAGCTAAGTCACATGACTTGTCATCCAATTGAAACTTCTGTAAATGTGCTAAAAACAACTATGTCACATAAAAACTGTGGTCACCCCAGGATATGCATTGTACTATGGCCTACAGTTATACTTACCTAGCTTTTTTTGCAACTCCTGCTTGCCACACTATAAAAAGGACAAACTCTTCATAATCAGTGCCTTCGACTGTGGAGATTACTCCTCTGGGGACTGCCAGCAGTCAGTAAAATTTCCTTTCTTCTCCTGAGCTCCTGGCTACTGCAGACTCAGTTTTACTGCTACAGTTACACTGGCATGAAACTGTTTTTGTCCTTTCCTTTCTAAACATCCTAAAAGTAGTAAGTGATGATAATTTTCTTAAAGAAATTACTTTGGAAAATCAATCCCTAAAGGTTTTGTACAATGGATTTGCAGAAAGGTTCTTTGGTAAAATATTCTACTTCAGTTGTGGGGAGGTGCTGACCCCTAGGTACAGACCATACTGAGAAGGCAGAAGAGTGTTCAAAGCTGTAGCACAATTGACTTCAGGGCTGTAGGCACATTGATCCTGGAAATCTTGTGTGAGGGGAGCTCCAAAAGGACCTGTGTTTAAGCAGCCTGACTTCTCTGTCCTTGAGAGGAACTCTAGCTCCTCCCTCAGGTCCACAAATATGAAAGTACCTGAGAGGCCTCAATTCTACCTGTTTAACTTCAAATGAGGGTTCAGGGCCAAGAATGGGACTTGAGGAAAAATGACAGAAATTTCCTGTACTAGGAAGCAGTCTCAGACTTTCATGTTTTCCTGAGACATGCCTGCAGTCTTCCAAATCCTTCTGGGCCTTTTGGTGACAGTGGTGTGTTATTTTTGCTATATTGAGCACTGAACCCAAGGCATCTTACATGCTAGCAAGTGCACACAACTAGGCTCCCACCCCCAGCCCTTTATATTCAGTGCTGCTGGATGTTTTGAATCAGGTCTACCCTGTTATTCTATCTTTGTGCTTTTGCTGCAGGTAGCTGAGTTAGTTAGAAATTCTATAGGCAGTGAGACATGGCTGGGTCCTAGAAGGAGCCAGTGCGGAAACTCAGATACCTTGCCCATAGGGATGAGACAGACACTTCCTGCTGTGGGCCAGGCCTCAGTCCAAAACATCAAACAAGTACATCCACATCCTAAGGACTGCCATTCTAAGTAGTTCCCTGTCACCCCGAGGAAGTCAGGAGTCACCATTCAAACCCCCTAGGGCAGGGTCACTGCTCCCTGAGAATGACTGCTTTCTACATGACTGACTTTCCCATTTGTCCCTAATTAATCAATTTTACCCAAGCAATTGTTCTTATTGGCTAACCACACTTCTGTCCCACCTTATGCCTAGCTGCCTTGTGAGTTCCCAGTTTTCCCTGCATTGAACTGATGATTTTACTCTATAAAAGTCCCTAGAAAAGACAGAGTGCTTGACAACTTGCTCTGGACCGCTTCTCTCTCTCTCTCTCTCAGACAGAGGCTTTCTTACTCTCAATACATATATTGTGCTCTTATGCTCCTTTGTTCCTAAAATTCATTCTTTGATTTTAGAGAACACAAATTTGTACCAGACTTAGTAGGTTCAGAGGTTCATTCCCCTATGTCATTTGGAGGTCCCACCAAGATCATTGGCTGGAGGTAAGAGGTTGATTTTGTTTCATAGCTTCTGGACTGGGACTGATTGAGGTAACAAATTTTTATGCTTCAAATTTTGTTTTCTGTTTCATTGTTTATAATTGCTTTGTCTCTTATAGTTTTGTTAAAATGCTAAATGTAAGTTAAAACGTGGAAAGGTTATAGTTATGATATTTCTTTAACAGTACATTTTTATTATTTTTTTATCGGTTGAATTTAAAATAATTGCTAAAGTTACTGGTACCCCTTGCTCGACTGTATTTATACAATAGCACTAGAGATAATAATAATAGGACACCCCTCACAGACTTTAATGTGAACTTCTGTAAAATGGTTCTCTTCAATAAAATCTAATTCAGACTTAAAAAGCATACATGCCTACAGTAATATGTGGAATTCCTTCCACCATTTAAAAAGCACTAGGCTGGTGGCTATTCTTCAAGACGTGCAGGACAGGTTTCACTAGGCAGACTGGCTCTGATCCTCCTCTGTACTCTAGAGGAAATGTCAAGTCTGTTCTGCTTCAGTGTCCTTTCTGTCACTTTAACGCTACTCTTTTCCCAGTTTGTATTCTCCTTATAGAGGCATATAAAATTAGGAAAAAAGTCTAGATTATTCCAACCTTTTCCTGCTAAGTGAAGCCCATAGAAAATGCATGTTTGCTAATGCTGAAGATAGGGAAGTCATCTTAGATGATGGACACACACCCTATCTCTGGGTTAGATGAGACATCAGAATACTGCCCATCCAGGAGTCCACACGTGAGAGTCATGTCCTGGCTGTGTTTGGGGTAAATCTCTTTAGAGATTAAACCTGAGACACAGTGGTGAGAACTGGCTTCCATGTGACAGTGGAAGAAGCTATCCCCAAAAGCAGCACACATATGGGACCTAAACACATTTAGAATAAAGGGGCTTTCCAACTTTTCAAGTTGTGGACTTTAAAACTTTGTTGTAAAAATATAGAGCACTAGGAAATGATCTTACTCAGGTTTTAACTATCCCTTTAGAACTTTGACAGTCAGTGTTCACAATAGCTGTCACTCCTAAAAACAGAGGACAGATTTCCTCAGCATCCAGTTGGTGAATCCCCATTAAAACCAGTGGGCAAGGCAGTCAGTGGAGTGCTAACCAGACAGGCAGCTGGATTCCTTTCTGGAGAATGATTTCTGGTTGTGTGGGGCCTATGCAAACTGACAACAACTGAGGGGTCATGGCCAAGACACCCACGGTTTCCTCGGTGGGCACTGGCTCCCCAGCCACAGAAAACTCCACTTCCTTATCTACCTGGATCTTTCTGGTAGTAAGCTAAAGGTGTTCCCTAAACTTTTCAGGTAGTTAAGACTACTTCTCTCAAAACTAGGCTAAGGCACCTGCAACAGCTTTTTATATCTGAAAAGAAACTAGCAGGAAAGGATTTACATTTGTGCCTTACCTATGCAGAAGCAACATGAGAGATACCCAGGGAACATCTATCAAATAGGAATAAAAAGGGATGCTTTTGTTTATCTCCTTTTTGCATAGCTAGATAGCTCAATATCATTCATAGCTCAGTGAAAATTTCCTGAGTTCAATTCCTGACCCTGAAAAAATTGTTTCATACCCTTATGCCTCAATTTTTGCATTCTGGACATGGGCAACTCAATGCAAAGGCCCCTTACTCCTTTGAGATGTGTTCTTAAGCTCTAGAAGATGTTCAACCCTTCTATGTTGAAAAAGAGACAATTGGTATTTCTCTGCAGGAGTGCATAGACTACCCACCCCCTAGAGCCAAAGTGGAATACAGAGGGAATTGTTAATTATGATGTTCTTTTACAACTGAAATCATACTGTAAGAAACAGGGAAAATGGTTAGAATTCTATTGTGTTCCAACTGTCTTTGCATGAAGAGATGATTCTTATCTATGCTCCAGGTGTCATTATAACCCTTATGAGACCACACTCATTCATAGGTCTCTTTCTCTTAGTGACTTAAATAAAACCATAACTAGGAAAAATTTTAGATGATTCTGATAAGTACATTGATGTTTATAGAGGAGTTATTTAGACCTATGAGCTAGGCTGGAAAGATGCAATGTTATTCTTAAATCAAATATTGACTTCTACTGAGAATCAGGCAGCATTACAAGCTGCTATTACTTTTGGAGATGAATACGGTGTTAGTTTAAGTAGGCCAAAGATAGAAGCCAAGAGAACCACCAGTTCCCACTGGTGAACAAGCAGTTCCCACCCAGGACTCCAAGTGGCATGACAACAATACAGGAGATTGGAACAGGAGACATTTTCAAGTGTGTATTCTCAAAGGTCTCAGGAGGAGAAAAATTGAGCCTTCTGGTGATTTTAAATCATCAGCTATTTCTCAGGAGGAAAGTGAAAACTCCTCTGACTTCTTAGATCATTGATCAGAGGCACTAATGAAACGTATGTCCATAGATCCTGATTCGGTAGAGGGACAGATTTGGCTTAAAGACATGCTTATTACCCAGTCAACTCCAGACATTAGAAAAAAGATAGGCTTTGCTCCAGATAGTTCACTTATCCTTTATTAAAAGCTGACTCCTTAGTATTCTGTAATCAGGACTGGGAGAAATCCAAGAGACTCCCAAAATGGCTGCCTTTATTGTGGCCACAAAAGCACAGGCCTTAACTCTGATTCTTGGGGCTCCAAGAAAAGCTTGATGATGATACTTACCTGCTATCACTGCCACAAGCCAGGCCACTTTAAGGAAAAAGTTCTCTATGACTCAAACTCCAGAAGAAAAATAAGGTTGACCAATTTTACTATATATAAACAACAAAAATTTGCACGGCAACAAATTCACCACAAGATCAAGGGACAAATTAAAAACCTGGGAGAAAATGTTTGCAACATGTAACATAGATGTATTAGTCAGCTTGCTGGTATTGGGACTGAGCACCTGACACCCACAACTTAAAGGATGAAGAATGTATCCTTTCGTGGGGTTCGGTGGGGTGGATGGGCCTTCAGTCCATGGTCAGCTGACCCCAAGGCAGAAAAAACATGGCAGAGGGGCAGCAAAAGGGAAAGTTGCTCACCTCAAGGCAGCCAGAAGCACAGAGAAAGGGAACAGTGAGAGAGACACAGACAGACAGACAGACAGACAGGCTGCCAACAGGATAGGCCCTTTCTAGGTCCATTCTGAGTGACCTGCACCCTCTACCAGGCACTGCCCCTAACAGCACAGCTGTCTCTGAACCCGTCTATGGACTTGCCCAGGCATTTCCGACCCTGTGGCCTGCAAACGGGACACACTTGCATTTATAATAAAGTATCTCTTTAAAAGCTGTTTTGTAACTGTCTACATAGACTCTAATACATGAGGCCCAAGGCTGTTTCTTCTCACCCATCACAGCCCCAGTGAGCCAGGGGTGCCCAGCCCTCCCTCACCTATCTATTGTGCGTGCAGTGCCTGAACATCCAGTCACTTTCCTAAAGCCCCCGCTAGAGACAGAAGAGCCTTTCAGGAAAAGGTTTTTGACCCAATCTAGGACAACGAGTAAGGCATGACCATCCCTGTGATGTAAAGGGATTTGATAAAAAGAGACCAAAACCCCAGCAGAAAAATGAATAAAAAAACACCAAAGAGCAAATCCCTTTGAATGCCAGGAAATGACTCTTGCATGCAAAAAAAAAAAAACAAACAAAAAGGCTCAACTTGTCTCAAAGCAAGACAAGTACTAACCGAAATCACTCAGAGACTGTGTTTTCACCTATTAGATGGACAAAAGTGTAAAAGGTGGGTCAGTATTCGGTTGATGAGGCTTTAGAATATTGGGAGCACCAGTGGATACCGCTATAGGGATGTGAAAGGGGAGATTTCAAACAAAATGAGCTGTATCTTTGCTTTTGATGAGACAGTCCGTATTAGGGATGCACCCCAAAGTCGGCTACCGAGGAGGGCAACGGAAACACGCACAAGTTTGCTCAGGGTAGCACAGTCTGAAATCGCCAGGCCCTGCAAACTAGCAAAGCACTTCACCACTGAATAAGGGAAGAAGCATCTGCAGGACAGAGCGCGTGCGGCTGAGGCTCAAACAGGGCGCTTTACACGACTGAACCTCGGTGACGTCTAAGGCAGATTGCTGCGTTATAAAAGTAACAGCAACAAAAAGCTTAGTGTACAGGTGAATATCCCTCACCCAAATACGTGTAAACTGGAAATGCTTCAGACGTTTTGTTTGGGTTTTGGAATATCTGCGTTACTGATCTTGAGATATCTTGGTAGTGAGACCCAAGTCACAATACGAAATTCCTTTTTATTTCAGAAATACCTTATACTGTAGCTGCATGTAACTGTGTGGAATATTTGGTGTACTTGCAGTGGGGCTTTTTTGTAATTCAGACTTTATTGCTTATTAGCTATGTCATTCCATATAATCTGAGGTAAGGAGGCTTTGAGAAAATATACCGGGATGAGGGCAGTGTTGGTGGAAGTGTCATAAGAAGCACCCTGTGGCCACCATCACACCCAGAAATTTGTAATTTCACATAAAAATGATAAAAATAGTTCACTGGTACTCAGCTAGCATTAGTCTTCCTAATCTAGCAAACTCAATAAGCCTGAACAATTTCAGAATCTTCAGAACAAAATGAAACAAAAAATCTTTTCTCACTCCCAGATGTTGCTTTCGAAAAACATATCAACATAACAAAAAGCACACAGTTGGCATATTCTAATTGGCAACTTAATTCTAATTCAAGAAACAAAATATGATTCAGCTTTTTAAAATGAAATTAAACTCCTCTGTAATTATACTTACTTTATAATTCAAACACTTTAACCAAGGCCAAACCTTAAAAGCCACAGATATGTTTCAAATTGCTTTTTTTTTTTGTACCAGGGATGGAACTCACAACCTTACACTTGTCAGGCAGGTGCTGTGCTGCTCAGCTATGTCCCCAACCTTCAGATTGCTCTTATGCTAAGGTAATTTCTTTAAAAATTAACTTTTCAGGGGCTGGGGATTTAGCTCAGCGGCATAAGCGCCTGCCTTGCAAGCATGTGGTCATGAGTTCGATCTCTGGTACCGGTAAAAATACAAAAAAAAAGAAAGAAAAAGAAAAAAACCACAACAATCCAGCCTCCCAGATATACAGCAGAAGTGGCATGTTCTTAAAACTGAGGGGTGGCCAGGTGTGGTGGTGAATTCTTATAATCCCAGCACTCAGGAAGCTGAGACAGGACTGCCTGGAGTTCAAGGCCAGACTAAACTGCATAGCAAGACCCTGTTCCCCCAAAACAAACAAAAACTAAGAGGCCACATAAAGTCACTATAAATCACATACAAACATCTGTAGAAGACCATTTGGATGGCCCTCTTTGAATGCAGAACAGCTACCTCCACATACTGATACATACAGAGCTGGCATAGCCATTTCCTTCTCCCTTCAACTGGCTCTAAGCAATGTGACTACGGCTGGCTGAGGTGTTGATGTGGAATCTTTGAAGCTAGATAATAGTCACTGTTTCCTTGCCTTGTGTCTCCCTATGAACAGTTGAGCACAGCGGGGTGGCAGAGCCACATAGCTCCAGGAATGTCAACTGGGTCCAAGCCTCAGGATGAGAGGCCATGACTTCCCAGGGAATAAAAGTTTACATATCAGAAACTGAAGCAACAGCTTCCTCAACGTTCAAATGCTGCTCCGGTTGTGTGATGCAGATTGGTCTTTCTGCATAGCCTTCTCTCTGCATATTGCAGAGGAGCTTTCTGGCCCCCTGGCCAGCCCAGCTCACAGCACTCATGTAATTCTCAGTCACTGACCCTCCAGCCACTCCCTTCGTCATGAATGAGTGAATTCTGGGTGAGGCCTTTGTCCTGTGAATCCTCACCTGGACCAGACTCAGGACCCCGTGGCTGCCCATAACTGTAAATACGCGTTAGTGTCTTTACTCCTGCCTCGGTTGCACTGTAGGTGATAGATTGGAATGAACTCACCAGGATTCCAATAACACCTCAAAAGGATTACAAATACAAACTTTCTGGACTTCAAGGAGGACAAGAAAGGGGATTACAACAAACATCAATAAATTTTCCTAGTAAATGTACACCAATAGTGTCCTTTCTTAATGAGTTTCAAAGCCAAGCATGGACAACAGTTCAGCATCTGAAAAGACTGCCACGTACATTAAAAAAGATGCAGATTGATAAATACATTGGGCTTGAAAAGTCACTACAAAAACAAAGGAAGGTTTGGGCTGGGGATGTACCTCAACAGCACAGTGGCTGCCTAGTCCACAGTTCAATTGCTAGTACCAAAAAAAGAGCAAGATTTCAAATGTGGTTTTTTGTTGAACCATGTAAAGACCTCAGTTATCCAACAAAAACACATCAGACACAGAAATAAAATTTTATGAAAATCACTGTTTCCAACAATATACAAATTATTAAGGTATCACTTACTCCCATATTAGTATATGCAGCAAAGAAAACATTTTTTCATTCTACTATTTATTTACTTACATTTTGGGGGGTGTTGAGACAAGATCTGGCTATATTATTCAGGCTGGCCTTGAAATCACTATGTAGCCCAGCCTGGCGTTGAACTCACGGCAATCCTCCTGCCTCAGCCTCCTGAGTGCAAAATGAAATGTTTAAATAATATTGATGCAATTTTTTCTTTTCTCTCCTTCTCTGTCTTTTGTTTTGTTTTTGAGACAAGTTCGCCCTATGTATCCCAGGCTGGCCTCCAATGTATAATTCTACCTCAACTTCCAGAGTGCTTTGATTACAAGATTGCACCACCACACCTTGCTTTATGCAAAAGTCTTCTAACGTATCTGACAGATTGGCTTTTTCTTTTTTTTTTTTAATCGATACCAGGGATCAAACTCACAACTGCCTGCTTGCAAGGCATGTGCTTATGCTGCTGAGCTAAATCCCCAGCCCCCTAGATTGGCTTTTATACTCACCTATTACTCACATGATTGAAAGCTCTCATGATCAAACACCTTGACCCAGCCAAACATGGTGGTGCTCGCCTATAATCCTAGAACTCAGGAGGCTGAGGCAGGAGGATCACTGTATGTTTGAGGGCTGTTTGGGCTACAAAGTGAGTTCAAGGTTCTCAACTGCATAGTGAGACCCTGTCTCAAAAAGACAAAAAAACAAAACAAAACAAAAAACATTGTGACCCAAATCAAAAGTCTAAACAGTTGTCAGTTTTTTTAAATGAAAGGAGTTCATTGTTGAAAAATAAAAAGTAACTACAAAGAGCATGAAATAAAGTGCAAACACTGCTATTTAAATTTCTTTGATGTAATTCTGCTTCTAGTTAAGTAAGAGAAGAGATAAAGACTTTGGGGTACAAACCTATTAATGTGGATCATGCTATGAAGTAACTGTCTACACGTTCTCATTCTCCTTGAAAAGCCACCACATCCACTAGAGTAAGTTCATATAAATAAACTGATTACTCCTTATGTTTGTACATTTACAGAGCTTAACAGGCTTCATAAATTACTGCATACTGAACAGTAGCATTTCCACCATCTATTAAGGCAGTTTTGTAAAAATAATTTAATTGACCAGATCTCTTCATGAACTTTCCGCTTACATCTATTGTGTAAGCAACATACAAAAACCATATTCTATATATACTAAAAAAAAAAAAAAAAAAAAACACCTCAGTACCAGAAAATGGTAATGAAAGCTGTGGAAACCAGTTTACTTTCTAAGGGACACTCTTCCCTTATCTCAGATTCCAAGGGCTAGTTGTCCCCTTCAGGTCTGTGCTCCTCAGTGCTTCACCAAATCAACCCAATTCCAGCCCGGAGCAAGCTCCTCTTCCTGATCTGTTTTATCTGCCAGTTTGTGTTTCTGAGTTTTTGAAAGTTGTCCTTTTTGTCGTTTTTCTAACTTGATGGGGTTATACTAGGTGTGTTAATTACATTTCTCTTGTTAGATAGACAAAATACCCAACACCCACAAGATAAGGGAGGTTTATTTAGCTCCCAGTTTGTAGAGGTTTCAGTCCACCCTCAGCTGACTCCAGGCAAGGTGGAGAGGCACAGGAAAAGTTCTTGGTGGGCATCAAGGGAGAGGGTAAGATGAGTTTATTTCTGTATCCATGCTGCCAGGATTAGGACCAAACCAATCAGTGGGCTGATTTAGTAACCACCCACCCTTAATCTTAACACTGCACCTATCACACACTCTAGATCTGGTCACCTCTGACAATGCCCCACCTATGACTGCAGGAGGCTTTGGAGGGGCATCTAGACACAAGCCATAACATTAGGAGTTTCAACTGAGATGACAGTGCTATGGATGTTGAACGAATGGGACAGTGATTCTCTGCAAACAGCTCTTTATTCTCCTTGGCGTAGTCAAAGGATGTATAGGTCACTGCTGTTCTCAGGTTAATTTCCACTGCTTCCCGGAACTTCAGTTTACTTTGTTTTACAGCGATGATATGTTATTGTTTTTTTAAAAGCCTTCATACATGTAATTGGGGCAGGGCTGGAGGTATGTTTCTATCCAGGAAATCTCTACTAAAAAGGCATTGGGGGTCACCTTTTCATCTATCCCATGTGGAAATGAAACTGGACATAATTCCCAGAAACAGTTGTCTCCTTCATAAATAGAACCTAACGCTTTAGCTCCATCTCCTGGACCTCAAGTGAGTCCAGTGGCCCCAGCTCAGCCCCCTCCTTGCACCCAGCTCTGACCCTCGCCAGCATGCTGTTGGGGCTGGAGACAGTGGGCTTCAGGCTTCAGGCTTCAGGCCAGCAGGCATCTGGGGAGAAGCTGCCACACACCTGTGCTTTGACTGTGAGGGTCACAGGGAGTCATCTGTGGGGTCTCCTTGTGGCATGGTGTTTGCCCTTAAGGTTCCAGGGCTTGGAGAATTTGAGACTTCGGATCTTCTTCTTTTTTTTTTTTTAATTTATTTAAGGAGAAAAAAAAGCAGAGAAAGGATACCAGTTATACAGATTTACAGAAAAAAATAAACAGTAGGAAATCACTAGTTAATGGATTACATATTGTCATCTTAGAAATAATTGTTCAAGTCACAAAATTAAAGCTTGTAAAGTGGACATTCCAACAATGATACTGCAAAAGTTCTGTTCAATGATCCAATAAAACTCAGTGATATCATTTTCTATCTTATACACTTAAATATACCTGCAGTTATATCATTTAGAGCCCTTTCTTTTCCTCTTTTGTACAATGACAATTACACATTTTGGGTTTTGTTGCTCCCACAGTTCTTACTACTTTTGTGGAAGGGAGTAGAACCAAATGTGACTTAACAGAACAGAGTCAATCAAATCAAAAGGGTGGACATAATAGATAATGTAAAAGCATAATACAAGGTGATCAATAATGGTTACCATAATGCCTCCCGCTATCTCTAATAGAATTGCCTATATCATCAGTTATAATAAAATTGAACAAAGCAATAAAGAACAAAACCAACAAAACCAAAACATTGGATACATTGTAGGTCTTCAAAAGTAGATAAAAGTCAACGAGAATGGGCGTCATAATGAATCTCACTATCTTCACAGCTGTTGCCTAAACTTTCGAACCTGGTACTATCCAGCAAAACAGAATAGAGGAACATCAGTCAAAAACAAGATGGTGAGAGCAACACAGGGCTTCAAATCAAGATAATGGAAAGTCAAAGTGGGTTACTATAATATATCCTGCTATTTTTATTTATTTTTCCCTTAATTAAAAGGATAAAAATAAAAAAGTAAATAATGGAGTGGAGATTGAGATAAAAGAGGGCATAACAGCAAAACAGCGCAGATCAAAACACAACCATTTAAGCAGAATAGTGTTTCACCACAAGATAATCCTGACATAAAAGTAGTTACCATATTGTGTCTTTCCTTGAAATCCTTGAGTACAACTTTGTATACTGTAGCATTAAATATATCAAAACAATGTAAAACCATTTAAGAGAATGACAGCATTACAGGGTATTTAGAATCAACTAACAGAAAATGAACACTGGTTTCTGTATAATCTCCTTGTCTTTAAAAGTTTTTGCTTATACTATCGTACATAATAAAATCCAATAAGATACAACCTGTTTAGACCAATGGAGACAGAAGAACAAAATGAGATTTCATTGATGAGACTTCAAAACAAGATGATACTAAATCAGTATTACATATTAAGACATCATTTTCTCCAAAATAGCAGTTCCTATCATCCAATCTTCTCTGCCTCATTTCTGTTGAGCTCTTTTTCTGTCAGTAGCTGTCAGTTTGTCTTCTTCATTTTGTTCTCTGCTCCATTCATTGTGGCCTCCCCCCCACTATTTCTGGATTCTCTGTATTTTTCTTTTTTTAGAATATCCTGCAATACTCTCTGTAGAGTTGAATTGGTGGTTGCAAATTCCCCCAGTTCCTCTTTATCCTGGAAGCACCTTGTTTTTCCATCAATTTCCAGGGACAGTTGTGCAGGATATCTCAATCTTGGCTGGAGATTATTATCTTTCAAAGCTTGAATTATTTCCCCCCACGCTCTTCATGATTTGATGGTTTGTGCAGAGAAATCTGCTGTAATTCTGATGGGTGCTCCCTTGTAAGTGGTCTGTTTCTTGTCTCTGACAGCTTTTAATATTCTGTTCTTGTATTGAATTTCTGGAATTTTTATTATTATATGCCTGGGTGTTGCTCTGTTTGAGTTGTAGGTGGCTGGGGTCCTGTGTGCCTCATACATCTGAGTATCTTTACCTTTTGCTAAATTAGGAAAATTCTCCTGGATTATTTCTGTGAGTAGCTTTTGTAGTTCACTTGTTTGTGTCCCTACTTCTTCTTTTATGTTCTTAATTCTTAAGTTATGGATCCTCTTATCATCTTCTTGTCTTTGTATTATTGCTGTTTGTTTCTTTGTTATTTTTAAGAAGTTTTTCCTTTCATTCTCCCATATTATAAATCTGCCCTCCAGTTCAGATAGTCTGTCCTTAGTTTCTTTCAAGCTGTTATGCCAGTTTTCAATAGAGTTTTTAGTTTCCTGGTAGTCCCTTTGAACCTGCTTCACGTATTCTATGCTTTCTCTATTTTCTCCATCAAACAATTCTCCCCTCTTTTTCTGTTCTTCCATTCCACCATCCGTTTTTTCTTGTGTGGTGCTTAGCATTTCTCTAACTATTCTGCTTACTTCTAGCTTCAGGTCATTAATAACTTCATTCCTGAACTAATCTATGAGGCTCTCTAGATGGCGCTTTATGTCTATTGGTGTGGTGACCGCTATTACCTGTTTCTCAGGATTAGGGGCCGAGGAGCCTTTCTTGTTGCTGCCTCTTCCCATATTCTTTGTTCCTTATATATGCAAGCTTATATAGGAGGCCCAGCTTCCCTCCCTGTCAGCCACAGCCTGATCGAATTGCGCCAGCTAGGTGTTCCTGCCCACCACAGCACACCAGGAAGTTCCAGACCAGGCAGCCTACGCGGGGCCTGCCCCTCCAGGCCACCCTCAGGCTCTGGGATCTGGGTTGGGCTAGCCTACTGGGTCCGCCAGCAGCATCACGTAGCCTAGGCACTTCTCACCAATCCTGCTTGAGAGGGGGATACGTGGCTGGAGTCGCTGCAGCGCCCCGCTCCCACAAGTCTGCCCAGTCCCAGAATGTCCTCCGCTGGAGTCAAACTGTGGTAGAGTGTCAGTTTCTCTCACTCACCTCACCACAAGTCAGTGCACGGCTCCCCGCCCATCCTGTTTTCAACTCCGTTCACAGATTCCCGTTCTCAGAGCTTCTGTGCATCTCTCTCACTGCCGAGCTGATGTAGACGCAGCTGCTGAGCGGCGGGAAACCCAAATCACGGCTTCCAATGGCGCAGGCTCCAGCCTCCACACTGAGACCCCTCTGTTCCTGTTCTAGCACCAGGACTGCATTCTAAGTTGGTTTCTCTCAGCCTAGTTCGTTCCTGGGTCAGCAGAGCATATCTCCACCTGCTTATGTCTCCTTACTCCGCACCACTCCTGACTTCTGAGCCGAGTCTTTTAGAGAGCCTCCGTAGCTGCTGTTATCTGTCCGCCATGTTTTCCCGGAAGTCGAGACTTCGGATCTTCAACCTGCACTGATACTAGAAAGGAATGGGAAAACACACACATGTTCAGTTATCTCTGCAAAAAGACATACAAAGGAAGACATGCTGGAACTTAGTGAGACTGGTCACCTAAGGAAGTTACAGAGGAGCAGGGCGAGCTGAGAGGACAGAAGAGGCTGGAGGAGGAAGTGGCACGAGCTTCTGCAGTTTTATCTTTGCACTTTCTATATCCCAAAAATAGTGAAGTCAATAGACTGGGAGGAAACTCTAAAGTGGACAAAGGCAAGTTGACCATACCCATATTTAAATGCTCACAACCACAGAAAAGAAGTAAAACTAGTTTTTAACTATAGAGCCTCAGAGTAAAGACAGAAAGAACAGCAGCATGGAGCTCTCATTGGTGAGTAGTTGGCTAATCACGTTGCCTCGCTAGATAATGATGAACCCACTGGCCCTGTATTATAGGGGTAATAAGTGCAAATGTTAAGAGTGAGACTTCAGTGCTATTTTGTTTTGTGGTACTGGGGGTCGAGCCCAGCAGCACTGTACCACTGAGCTACATCCTGACTGTCTGATTGATTGACTGAGATAGTGTCTCATGGAGTTGTCCAAGGTGGCCTTGAACTTGTGACCCTCCTGCCTCAATCTCCTGAGTAGTTAGAATTTCTCACTGCACCTGGCTAATAGGCATTAAGTACATGATGGCCAGAAAAGGAAGTAAGCAATATGAAAACAGGCAATGAATGAGACTTCCGGGAGAACATGGCAGACAGATAACAGCAACTACCGGAGGCTCTCTGAAAGACTCGGCTCAGAAGCCAGGAATGGTGCGGACTAAGGAAACATAAGCAGGTGGAGATATGCTCTGCTGACTCAGGAACGAACTGGGCTGAGAGAAACCAACTTGGAATGCAGTCCTGGTGCTAAAACAGGAACAGAAATGCCTCGGTGTGGAGGCTGGACCCCGCGCCATTGTAAGCCGCGATTTGGGTTTCCCGCTGCGCAGTGGCTGGCTGCCTCTACAGTGGCTCAGGAAGGAGAGAGACGCGCAGAAGCTCTGAGAACGGCAATCTGCGAACAGCAGAGAGGCGTGCACTGACTTGTGGTGAGGTGAGTGAGAGAAACTGACACTCTACCACAGTTTGACTCCAGCAGAGGACTTTCTGGGCCCGAGCAGTCCTGCAGGAGGAGGGCGCGGTGGCAACTCCAGCCACACATCGCCCTCTCGGGCAGGATTGGTGAAAAGTGCCTGGCCTGCGTGACACTGCCGGTGGACCTGGTAGGCTGTCCCAACCCAGATCCCAGAGCCTGACGGTGGCCGGGAGGGGAGACGCGTAGGCTGCCTGGTCCGTAACTCCCTGGTGCGCAGCGGTGAGCAGGAAGACCTAACTGGCACAATTCGATCAGGCTGTGGCTGACTGGGAGAGAAGCTGGGCCTCTTATATAAGCTTGCATATATAAGGAACAGAGAAGAAGAGGCAGCATGGGAAGAGGCAGCAACAAGAAAGGCTCCTCGGCCCCCAATTCTGAGAATCAGGCAATAGCAGACACCGCACCAATACACATAAGGCGCCATATAGAGAGCCTCATAGACCAATTCAGGAATGAAGTTATCAACGACCTGAAGCTAGAAGTATGCAGAATAGTTAGAGAAATGCTAAGTACCACCCAAGAAAAAACAGGTGGTGGAATGGAAGAACAGAAAAAAAGGGGAGAATTGTTTGATGGAGAAAACAGAGAAAGCATAGAATACGTGAAGCAGGTTCAAAGGGACTACCAAGATACTAAGAAGTCTTTCGAAGACTGGCATAACAGCTTGAAAGAAACTAAGGACAGAATATCTGAACTGGAGGGCAGACTTGTAATATGGGAGAATGAAATGAAAAACTTCTTAAAAATAACAAAGAAACAAACAGCAATAATACAAAGACAAGAAGATGATAAGAGGATCCATAACTTAAGGATTAAGAACATAAAAGAAGAAGTAGGGACACAAACAAGTGAACTACAAAAGCTACTCACAGAAATAATCCAGGAGAATTTTCCTAATTTAGCAAAAGGTAAAGATACTCAGATGTATGAGGCATACAGGACCCCAGCTACCTACAACCCAAACAGAGCAACACCCAGGCATATAATTATAAAAATTCCAGAAATTCAATACAAGAACAGAATATTAAAAGCTGTCAGAGACAAGAAACAGACCACTTACAAGGGAACACCCATCAGAATTACAGCAGATTTCTCTGCACAAACCATCAAATCACGAAGAGCTTGGGGGGAAATAATTCAAGCTTTGAAAGATAATAATCTCCAGCCAAGATTGAGATATCCTGCACAACTGTCCCTGGAAATTGATGGAAAAACGAGGTGCTTCCAGGATAAAGAGGAACTGGGGGAATTTGCAACCACCAATTCAACTCTACAGAGAGTATTGCAGGATATTCTAAAAAAAGAAAAATACAAAGAATCCAGAAATAATGGCAGAGAGGCCACAACGAATGGAGCAGAGAACAAAATGAAGAAGACAAACTGACAGCTACTGACAGAAAAAGAGCTCAACAGAAATGAGGCAGAGAAGATTGGATGATAGGAACAGCTATTTTGGAGAAAATGACATCTTAATAGGTAATACTGATTTAGTATCATCTTGGTTTGAAGTCTCATCTAGCTTTTGTCCTTCTGTCTCCAATGGTCTAAATAGGCTGTATCTTATTGGATTTTATTATGTACGATAGTATAAGCAAAAACCTTTTAAAGACAAGGAGATTATACAGAAACCATTGTTCATTTTCTGTTAGTCAATTCTAAATACTCTGTAATGCTGTCATTCTCTTGAATGGTTTTACATTGTTTTGATATACTTAATGCTACAGTATACGAAGTTGTACTCAAGGATTTCAAAGAAAGAGACAATATGGTAACTACTTTTAGGTTAGGATTATCTGGTGGTGAAACACTATTCTGCTTAAATGGTTATATTTTGATCTGCGCTGTTTCGTTGTTATGCCCTCTTTTATCTCATTCTCCACTCCATTATTTACTTTTTTATCTTTATCCTTTTAATTAAAGGAAAAAAAATAGCAGGATATATTATAGTGACCCACTTTGACTTTTCATTACCTTGATTTAAAGCCCTGTATTACTCTCACCATCTGGTTTTTAACTGATGTTCCCCTATTCTGTTTTGTTGGATAGTATCAGGTTCGAAAGTTTAGGCATCAGCTGTGAAGATAATGAGATTCATTATGACGCCCATTCTCGTTGACTTTTATCTACTTTTGAAGACCTACAATGTCTCCAATGTTTTGGTTTTGTCGGTTTTATTCTTTACTGTTTTATTCAATTGTATTATAACTAACGATATAGGCAATTCATTAGAGATAGCGGGAGGCATTATGGTAACCATTGTGGATCACCTTGTATTATGTTTTTACATTATCTATTATGCCCACCCTTTTGACTTGACCGATTCTGTTCTGTTATGTCACATTTGGTTTTACTCTCTTCCAAAAAAGTAATAAGAACCGTGGGAGCAATGAAACCCAAAATGTGTAATAGTCATGGTACAAAAGAGAGGAAAAGAAAGTGCTCCAAACTATATAACTGCATGTATATTTAAGTGTATAAGATAGAAAATGATATCACAGAGTTTTATTGGATCAATGAACAGAACTGTTTGCAGTATCATTGATGGAATGTCCACTTTACAAGCTTTAATTTTGTGACTTGAACAATTATTTCTAAGATGACAATATGTAATCCATTAACTAGTGATTTCCTACTGTTCATTTTTTTTCTGTAAATCTGTATAACTTGTACCCTTTCCCTGCTTTTTTTTTCTTTTCTCCTAAAATAAAATTAAAAAAAAAAAAGGTGAAAAAAAAAAAAAAAAAGAAAACAGGCAATGAACATTTTGCTACTGGGTGACAACAAGAAATATCAGTAAGAACTCATGATTTTAGATCGCCCCAGTTACATATGTGTCCACGGTTATATGTGTGTCCCTGAATACACACTTACTCGCATGGTGTAGGAAGCCATTGAAGCTGGAGATGATCACATAATAAAGCAAGGCCAGTCCCGTCCCCCGCCCAAAACAGAGAGACCAAAACCAGCTATGTAAACAAGTTATTCTAGCACCAAGAAGGCAGGGGCCAGGCCTGCCAAGCCATGGGCTGCTAGGCAGAGCACTGAAATCGACCTCGTCTTTCCCAGGATAAATAAAGGTGCTACAGAGGTCGAGCAGTTCCTTTCCTCCCATCAGGAGGATAAGGGCTCCACCTTACCCCAGTTCTGTCTTTTCTTTTTCTCATCCTCTCACAGGTCCTTAACCCCAGGAACCTCAGGAGCTGCACTGAGTTGTGGCATATGGTGCCAGAACACAGACGGGGTTGGAGACTGAGGGTGAGGGGGACACTTCTCATGTGCATGAGACTAAGGGGAGAAGTGCATTGGTACAGGTCAGTAGTCATCACTGGAAGGTCTTGATATTGGCGTCATCAGGTGTAGAGTGGGGCATTGAAAATCCCTTATTCTCTAGGGCCAGTTATAAATGGTCTTCCTGAGGGAAACCCCTTCCCCTGAAAAGAAAAAAAAGAGATATATTAATTATATCAGCTGTCTAACTATGGGGCAAACTTATCCAAAAGAATCACAAATGCATAAGGACCTGTTTGCTGTATGCTTGATTCCAGTATTTACATTCCTTCTGTGGATCTGGACGACACAGGGTCTTAATAACCTTAAGCTTCTTGAGAGGATTACAAGGGAAGTGGCTCCAGGCACTGTTTCAGAATCAGGTCCCGAGCAGGGAAAAGGTGGCAGCCCGACCCCCACACTGATAACCTTAACTGAGCCACTAACTATCCATTCAGCCAAACCTTCCACGGGCTGTCCAAAGTGTAGAGGACGGGATCATTGGGCCACTCCATGTAAATTCAGAACTTCCAGCAGGCCTGATCAGGCTGGCTCCAGCACATCACTGTCTCCCTATGGCTTTGTAGTGGGTCTTGATATCGGGTAACCTAAATTCT